GCGAGCGGGGCAGGAGCGCTCGGGGGGGCCCGGCCTGCGCCCCACCTGCCTCTCTGTGCCCCGGCGCCGGTCTCCAGCCTAGTTTTAAAACGAACCAAACCCACGAGCTGCAAACGGGGCCCGCCGCGTAGTAGGCGCTCAATAAACATTTGAACGAAAAGCGAGCTGAAATGAAGTGCAAAGGGGAATCCCGGAAATCAGGAGTCCAGAAACAAATTCCGTTCGCCCGAAGGCTGCGTGTGGCTGGCTGTCCGGGGACCTCTTCTTCCTGTGTGGGTTTTTGCAAAGCTCAAAGATGGTCTCAGAAAGGGTGCTGTGTTCCGTGGCCTTTTGCCACGGGGGAGCCCGCAGCTCCCTTAAATCTGTTCTGTTAGGGAAGGGGGAAGAGGGTGCCCCAGGTCCCAGAAATTCGCCATTGTTCTTTTTCCTTTCGTGAATCTTTCCGTATTGATAAAGGCACTTCTGGAGTTTGTCCCTGGGGGACCTATCTCCTACTCCATCTCTAAAACAAAAGCAAGTTGCACCCCCACCAAAAAAAAAACTACTGACCTTTAAACTACGGCCCAGGACAGATCGCCTTTTACTATGCTAAAGTTAAAGGGGGAAAAAATTTTTTAAATAAATGAATTCAATTCACTTTGAGGTTGACTTCTTTTCCATTTAAAAATGTAAAAACAAAAAAAACAAAAATATATAAAAAAGGAGAAAATATATACAAGAAGTCTAAACGTTAGCTGAGACTAGCCAGTTTGAAATGCATTTAAAGTGACAGTGGGGGAAAATATGATTTATGTCAGTAGTCTTTAGAAATCTTTTAAAATTAATTATTGATCAATTGAAACTGATTTAATCAGCTTTTGGACTGAATTTTGATTCTCTCCACACACCCTTCCCCCAAAAGAGGGGTGGTTTTGTTTGGGGGGGCACAGGAAACACTGGGTGGGCTTGGTTCTGGGTCCTCATGGGTCTGCTCAGTGACCTGGCTGTTTGGTGCTGATCAGGGCTGTTTTCTTCCGCCCTCTGAGCCTAAAATGAATCTGGAAGAAGGGTTAGACCTAGGTTAGGGAGAGGAATGGCCAGACTTGGAGTCCCATAACTTTTCATCTTTTCATGCTTTTGGTTTATTATTATTATTATCACTGACTGCACAAAACTAACAGTACTTATTTTTTATTTTCTACATTGCTTTTTTGGGAAAAGTGAATCTTCCATGCACAGCTAGATGTTAGAGTAAAATAAAAAAATACGCTGCATGATTAATTGTTATTTTCTTTCTTGTGCTAATAAAATTATTATTGTTGTTTCTTCTCTGCCTTTCTCTCCTCCTCTTCCTCCTCCTCCTCCTCTTCCTCCTCCATTTTTCCTGCAGAAGGATTTGGTCTAGTGATGGAATTCCACTCGCTTCTCAATTCAGAACCTCTGAAACTTGACTCCTTTTGAAAGATAGGATTCTGATCCATTTTCCATTTTCCTCCAATGGGAACAAATCATGCTGGGGGTGAATGGGAGGGTAAAACAAAATTTTAAAAAATTGGAGATAGGTTCTACAAATCAATTCCACCATTGTACAAAATTAATTTTATTCTTAAATATTTCTTTCCAGCATCTGTCTGAAGTTTCACATCTTGTCACCTTAATTTTTATGTCCAGATTTCACTGCTGTTGAACCATCTACTTGCCCATGTTTTCCCCAAGTTTTCCTAACATTTTTATTCGGTCTGATAGAGGTAAACCATTGCTTATTATCTGTGTATAATTGGAAACGTGGAAGTTTTTAGTTTTATAAAATAGTACAAAATAGGTTGAGGCATATAATTGTTTTCTTTTGGATAAATCTTCAGCGTATATAACTCATTTTAAATCTAACAGACTTCTATTTTTTTAAATGTAACAAGAAAAAACAAAATACTGAAAAACAGGAGGTAAATACATTAAAATAGAATTTTAATTTTGTATTTCTACTGAATCATAGTCAATTTTACAACAAAAAATGTGGTCATATATATATATATGTATATGAAATATATAAAAAAAGAAACTTCCTCACAGCTTTGACTTCAAAGAAATTTGAGGAGTTGGTCTTTTTTGTTTGCTTGGATTTCATTTTATTTGTTTTTTGTTGTTGTTTATTTTTTTCATTGTTGCTGCCCTAGGAAGGTTTTGTTTCTTCCTTCAGTTTGAGGTATTAGTGTGGTTCTTTTCAATGCCTGTAAACTTTGAGAAAGTGTAGATTAGCCCCAGTTTAAAAGCACATGCAACATAATTATGTGCTTAGGATATCTCATAAAATGTAAGAGAACAAGAACAACAATAAAAAAAGGAAAAGTTCCCTCTCCAAATTACCATTCACTCCAAGGTATTCAGTATCTTTCAACCCTTAAAAAGAAATGTATTTATCACAAAAATGGAAGAACTCAGAGTGGAAAAAGAACTTTAAGGACAATTGGCTGTTTTACTGTGGGTTACACAGCTTGTGTGATGAAACCTCTCAATTTTTTGTTTTGATTCTGACGTACAATGTAAAAACTTCAGCAAAGAAGGGCATGATTTAGTTTACTTTTTTAAAGTGATGTTAATTCATGTTGTTACTAAATTAAACTACTCAGCCCCTATTGACAAATGTAGAAAAAAAATAGTTGAGAACATTCTACACACAGAATGACTGCCTTTTATTTTATTCTTTTAAACTCCAAAATGATTCATTTAAAAGATAATGAACAAGTTTGTTTAGTTCCTACAGCACAAAATCCAAAATAAATCACCAGTTCTTTGGGAGAAAAATTGCAAAAAAAATGTTTAAGTTCAACAAAAGACAACTATTTTTAAAGTAAAACAAATTATAAAAAGCATCAAAAGAGAATCCATGCCTAAATATTCTTTAGAATAGAAATACTGAGATAATTCTGTATT